GTTTTTCCCTTGCTGCTTTCAGTAATTTTTCTTTGTCTTTAATTTTTGCCAGTTTGATTACTATGTGTCTTGGTGTGTTTCTCCTTGGGTTTATCCTGTGTGGGACTCTTTGCACTTCCTGGACTCTGGTGGCTCTTTCCTTTCCCGTGGTAGGGAACTTTTTGACTATAATCTCTTCAAATATTTTCTTGGGTTGTTTCTCTCTCTCTCCTCCTTCTGGGACCTCTATAATGTGAATGTTGTTATGTTTAATGTTGTCCCAAAGGTCTCTTAGGCTGTGTTCATTTCTTTTCATTCCTTTTTCTTTATTCTGTTCCACAGCAGTGAGTTCCACCATTCTGTCTTCCAGGTCACTTATCTGTTCTTCTGCCTCAGTTATTCTGCTATTGATTCCTTCTATTTTATTTTTCATTTCAGTTATTGTATTATTCGTCTCTGTTTGTATGTTCTTTAATTCTTCTGGGTCTTTGTTAAACATTTCTTGCATCTTCTCTATCTTTGCCTCCAGTCTTTTTCTGCCATCCTGGATCATCTTCACTATCATTCTGAATTCTTTTTCTGGAAGGTTGCCTATCTCCATTTCATTTAGTTGTTTTTCTTGGGTTTTATTTTGTTTCTTCATTTGGTACGTAGCCCTTTGCCATTTCATCTTATCTTTCTGTGAATGTGGTTTTTGTTCCACAGGCTGCACGATTGTAGTTTTTCTTGCTTCTGCTGTCTGCCCTCTGGTGGATGAGCCTATCTAAGTGGCTTGAGCAAGTTTACTGTTGGGAGGGACTGGTGGAGGGTAGAGCTGGCTGTTGCTCTGGTGGGCAGAGCTCAGTAAAACTTTAATCCACTTGTCTGCTGATTCGTGGGGCTGGGTTCCCTCCCTATTGGTTGTTTGGCCTGAGGTCACCCAACACTGGAGCCTACCCAGGCTCTTTTTGTGGGGCTAATGGCGGACTCTGGGATGGCTCACGCCAAGGAGTACTTTCCAGAATTTATGCTGCCAGTTTCCTTGTTCTCACGGTGAGCCACAGCCAACCCCTGTCTCTGCAGGAGACCCTCCAACACAAGCAGGTAAGTCTGGTTCTGTCTGCTATGGGGTCACTGCTCCTTCCTCTGGGTTCCGATGCGTACACTACTTTTTGTGTGCCCTCCAAGAGTGGAGTCTCTGTTCCCCCAATCATGTTGAAGTCCTGCAATCAAATCCCGCTAGCCTTCAACGTCTGATTCTCTAGGAATTCCTCCTCCCATTGCCGGACCCCCAGGTTGGGAAGCCTGACATTGGCCTCAGAACCTTCACTCCAGTGGGTGGACTTCTGTGGTATAAGTGTTCTCCAGTTTGTGAGTCACCCACCCAGTAGTTATGGGTTTTGATTTTATTGTGATTGCGCCCCTCCTACCATCTCATTTTGGCTTCTTTGTCTTTGGATGTGGGGTATCTTTTTTGGTGAGTTCCAGTGTCTTCCTGTCGATGATCGTTCAGCAGTTATTTGTGATTCTGTTGCTCTTTCAAGAGGGAGTGAGAGCAGTCCTTCTACTCCACCTTCTTGAACCAATCTCGAGCATGTTTGGTTTTGATACTAACATGTCATATCATTGTAGGGTGGTTGTGATTATTAAACTGACCGAAGTTTCTTTTGGTTCTTTGTGTAGTGTTTTAGAATAGTACAAACACAATCACACTGGCAAGTATCTCCATTCTAATGATTTTCAAATTAAGGAATTGTTTCAAATTATGAAAGCTCTTTGTTCACCTAGCTTTGCAATAGCATGATGTATGCTAATTGCTAACTTTGTCTGCATTTTTTTTAAAGATCAAATGGGCACAGTGGTTATTTTCATTAATCTCATACAGAGCAGCTAATTAAAATTTCCATTATTATCCACCCATTATCTAGTTGTTTCCTTTGTTCAGTATCAGAACAGGATGTTAATGATAAGCCATTGTTGTATTACAGCCCTATTAAGTACAGTGAGAATTAGTTTAATCTATTGCACTCTTTTGTTTTTAGGTGATTTCTTTAATATTATGTTCCACCATATTGATTTTGCTGAAGATACTTTGACATTTTGTAATAGAGATTTCAGAATTAAATACTTGTTGCTTTAATTTTTTACTCAATATTGAGAAAAGGTGACATACAGTAAAAAAAAAAGAAGTAACCCAAGGACCAGAATGTTAGTGTTTTATTCTTGCAACCTCACTAATTACGTGAACTTGGGAAATCAACTTGATTCTCTATTTATGTAATGAGAGCATTAGAACAGCTGGTCTTTTAGGGCCAGTCCAGCCTTTCCATGCTATCATGTTTTCATAATTTTCAAATATGAGGTTATGTTAAAACCCCAAAGTCCTCCTAAGCTTGATAAAAGGCATTTATTCTCTAAAGTTATATATCTTCTGTCTTGCTCCATTACATTGTTTGCTTCCATTCCTTATAACTGTAGAGTATCCTCAATTATATAATTTAAACCAGATTCTAAGGCTTGGATGAGGGGTGAGTCCCAAGGTGATAGGCTGGCCCAATTGTTCCATAAAGAATATCTCACGCACAACCATGTAGAAGAAAGGATCTAACATTTTCTGAGCATCTTACTCTGTCTATGAGACAACACATATGAAATGCCTGGTTTTGGCACTTGGTATGCATTGTTTTACTTAAGCCTCATAACAAATATGAAGGGTCAGTGTTTATTACCCCTGTGTCACGGATGAGCAAACAGGTTTATAGAGATCCGTTCAGTCGACTGATCAAAGATTACCTAGAAGGTAGGTGAAGGGCCATGATTCATACCCAGTGGCAGTTTGAGCCATCCCCAGCATACCATATACTGTCTAAGTTTACCTGTTCTATACAAGAATATCTGAGTATATTATAATGGAATGTCTCAGGACTGTAATATTCTGAAGTGAAACTAAACTGAATTTGGAAGCTTTGGCGTGTTGAAGCTCATCAGTCATTCACCTCTTTGGTTATTCACCATTCATAGATCCATCATTCATTCAAGAAATATATACTGAGTACTTAACTGTGTGCCAGGCACTGTGTTAAGATCTGGAGATACAGTAATGAACAAGATAGGCAAGTTTCCTGATTTGTGGAAACTATGTTTTAATGAGGAGGATACAGTAAACAAGTAAAGTGCTAAACGTCATAAATTTATATAAGACTGTTGGGCTGAGACTTAAATGATGAGAACCAGCAATGGAGAGGTCAGAGGTAAGAGTCTTATAGGCAGAGAAAACAGCAAATACAAAGGTCATTCTACAGGAATAAGCCCTATATATAAGCCTCTAGGGGAGTCAGTATGGCCTTGTCATCCATTAATTAAGAAAATAAGTTTGAGGATCATATGAAAGTGAAAGTGACAGCAGATCTGCAAAATTTTATACTATAAATGTTTTTTATTCCTTGTGGATCTGTAGCCTTGAGATGGGTAAATAAGTTATAGAAATGTGGAAATGATTTCACGATGATGGTTTTACTTACTGTGCCATCTGTGTGGTGATTCATTCAGTAGACTTCCTGAACATCTACTGTATATCCTACTAAAGCAAGAAAAATCAAGTCTGTGGCCATTACACAATATATGGGAGCAAAAAGTATGAAATTGTATTCCTTATTCTGTAATTTTTATGGACAGATTCAATAACAGCACATTTTTGTGGAGGCTCACTAAACCCCATCACTCTGTTAGATACTTGGCATACATGGAGTTCCCAGTCTGGAAGAGAAAGAGACACACATAATGACCTCTGCCCCAATGTCTTAAGTGCTATAGTAGTGATAGTGTCACAGTGGTATAAGGGAATAGAGTTCCTGTACAGAAGACTTTATCAGACTTTAAACATTTACTGTTTAATGGAATTTTTAAAAATTCAGACATTAAGAATGATTGACAATTTCTATATCAGGAGGCATTCTCAATAAAAAGCCAAATAGTACGAAACCCTAGGGAATCCATTTCTCATTATTAACATATTGTTGTTTTTTTTAAACTCTATATCCTCTAATGATATAACTTCTATCAAATTGGAAAACAATTGCTTTCCTTCTTCTAGCTTAGATACTTAGCAGAAACTGAGTGTAATTCATATGAATTTACAAAATTGGACTCAAGCTAGGGTTTTAATTCAGGGGGATACATTTGTAATACAGGAAAGGGGCAGTTATGATTATGTAGATCTGGAATGTGAAACTATGCGTTATTAGTACAATGAATGTGTTGATGATGTTTTCCTCCCAGCCTTTTCCCCAAACTACTTACATAGTTATGGCAAGGTGATGAAGCTAAGGAGCTGTGATGAGATAATGAGTTCTAGAAATAACCCCATGAATATTGGAAATTAAGCTAAAAACTAGTCGCTATCAGATAAATGCATTTAATGGCTTTTTAAGATTACTACGGCATGGGATTAACATAGTTAGGAAAGAATAGTTAGGAATTGGTGAATGCTTTACACTAATTTGTTAACTAACATACTAATTGGAGACTATATTGTTTTGCATTTTAATAAACATTTTCACTTGGTTTTCAGATAGGGTGATATTCTGACATATTTCAGTAGATTTGGGTTATGTATAATGTTTTGCATTAGATTTTGTTCACTGTAGAATAGAATATAAATAACTAGGAGAATTAATAAGATGACTTCTAAATGTTCATCCTGTGGGTTAAGGAGGACCAGCTAATGTTAATCCTAATGCCTGGATTGTAAATTTAAGCATCCCTGTCAGTAATACTTTATGCTACTGAAGTCCATATTCTGTTCAGGTTATGAGTACCATCAGTGTAATTTTCCTTTAAATGAGGCTGAGGAGAGTGTTGAGATATATACAGCATGATTTTACCACGTGAGTTTTATGACCAAAAGTTTTTAAGCGCCTGGCACTCTGTACACATTTTTATACGGTAAAATATTTGCATATTCTATGCATTATTGTATTTTAAAAGTTACAAAAAAAAACTGTTGTTTGTCTAAAATAATATCTTTTTTTTTTTTTTAATAGGGAGGGCTGAAAAACAGCAAACATGAATGCACTCTGTCTTCACAAGAATATGTTCATGAATTACGATCTGGTATTTCAGATGAGAAACTTCTTAATTGCCTAGAATCTCTGAGGGTTTCTTTAACCAGCAATCCTGTCAGGTAGGTGCTTTTTTACTGTTTTGGTATGATTCGTACAATTTGTACTGTATATAATTGTTGGGAATATAATCACTTACGTCATTTTAACCTCACGTTTTCCTGACCAGAAGTCTGATGTTAGTTAATAAAACAATGTCTAATTATGAGTTTGTAAACATTTAAAAATATATAGCTAATCTGATCTCTAATAACAAGCAATTTTAAGAATACAAATATTAGTCAGATGGTTAGGTCCTCTTTGATTATGTAAAATATGGGTCCAGAAGTTAAACATCCACATTTATATGAAAATCTGTACTCGGATAACAATTATTATATATTTATTTATAAAATAAATTAAGTACATTGGCTCTATGATATTTTTCCTTTTTAACTTGAGAAGTAAATATAGTTTTGTATTCTACAAGTTTTAGATATGTCATTCACACATTTCTGTAATTTGGGATAGCAAAATTAGTTAATTTTAACCAATAAAATAAATAAGAAAATATTAATAAACTCCTCAAAAATCTACACATTTAGGCTATTACCTAGGTACAAAGGATTTTTAAGGAAGAAGTTCTTGCCAATGGTGGATTCCAATAACTGATGTTCTTTTATTAACTATAAAAAGCCTTTCAGTTAATTACACCCCAAATAAAATGTTTTTATAGGGAAAAATAGATTTTCAGTGTAATATGAAAATATTCTGGGATCTGCTTACACAATTACTAAAATATTAAGTTCAGAAATTACTGGATAAGAGTATATAGAAACCATATTTTGATTTTATTCTTGTTTTTCCTAATATATGATGGGATTTGTACTTCCCTGACCTATCCACAGAGCCTTGAAAATAATTTAGAGCTCAGTTGTTTCATTTGAATTTATGTATAAATTGAAATATACTATTTATTTTTACCGATGATGCATTTGACAGAATAACTGGAAAAGTGTAATTCTACAATAAAAAATTTAAAAAGGTAATGGTAAGATATGACTTGCATTTGAATACGATAATTATTCAGAGGTGGCTGTCTTGCCATTTTTTCCAGAATGCTTCTGGTTTTAATGATTTGCAAAAGTTTACTGGTGGACAGTAAACGCGGTGTGTCGTCCCCCATACCCCCCTCCCCCGCTGCTGCCTCTGCCGCCTCCACACACAAAGTATACTGAACTTATTGCTCTGAAAATTGCTGTTGAGTGGTTGAGTGAGTTGAATAAATGAGTCTTTTAGAAGTGACTACAGAAGTCGTTACATTTAGGAATGAAGCAGGGGTGGGGGGAACCTGGTAAAAATGCATTTTTATAAAGATATCGGGAAAGGTCCGAAATTACATGCGGGTCCTTTAAGATGTAGGGGAGCCGCTACCCAACAGCTCCAAAGAATTGTAGGGCGAAGTGAGAAGATGGCAGGTCTTGATTGGTTAGAGACAGCTGCATCCTGGCAGGTGATTGGCTCCACAGTTGCATGGGGCTGCTTGTGTCGTCACAATCCCAGCATTCCGTTGTAGCCATCGTAGCCGTTGTAGCCTGCCTGTGGAACTCGCGGAACTTGCTGACGGGAGCCAAACCCCACCTCCTCGTCTGCCGGAGCTGCCCTTAAAATGAGTAAGAATGGGTTTGGGAGCTATGGCGGCATCTCTGCTGCAGGTGGAGCCATCGGAAGCAATGACCCACCGTCTCAGGGCAGGGTAGCTCTTGCTTTTAAGTCCATACGATACAGGTCCCGAATCCAGGATATTATACCTTGCTGTGTAAACCAGCTGCTCACCTCCATTGTGATTGATAATGTCTTCACGATTAGGGGAATCGAGGTTTCCCTAGTCGCTATCATGGGGATAATCAGGCAGGCAGAGACGGCTACAAATTACGTTCTTTACAAGATTGATGATATGACCACCAAGCCTATCAACGTCCGCCAGTGGGTCGGCAGAGATAGAGCAAAGCAGGGGATAACTCTCCTTCCAGTGAGAGTATACGCCAAAGTGTTAGGTATCCTCAAATGTTCTGCGGAGGTGAAGAGCCTTGAGGTGTTGAAAATCCGTGTCCTGGAGGACATGAACGAGTTCACCACACATATTCTAGAAACGGTTAACGCGCACATGATGCTGGATAAAGTGGCCTCTGGGCAAAGTGTCCCTGTTGTTCCCTCAGAAATGGATGAGGCCCAGATGCACAGCGAGTACCACCCCGACTTCATCCGGAAGGAGGTGCTGCGTTTGATTCAGGAGTGTCCTCGATAGGAAGGCAAGAGCGTTCGTGAGCTCCAGACCAAGCTTAGCAACCTGAGCATCGGGACCGTCAATCAAGCCATTGAGTATCTGACCGTCAAGGGCCACATCTACCCCACTGTGGATGGGGAGCATTTTAAATCTGCTGATTGAAGCAGTGAAAACTTTTTTCATTTTCTGAAGACGCTGCCTCCAGTTGTGACTGAGTTTGACTGTTTGACTTTTAGGAAGTAGATTTCTTTAAACAAAAGATTGGAACTGGCATCCTTTTGGAACTTCACTGCTTTTCCAACTGCTTTGAACTTTTCTATTTTTCTAACTATATTTGAAGCTCAGAGGGAGATGGCGATGGATAAATTGACTGGCCTTTTTGTAGAGTTTACCAGCAAGCAAATGAAAACACTCTTGGACAGATGATTTTGGGGGAGAAAAGGTATAGAAAATTGAAAATTATTAGTTGCATGGGAGCTTCTTCTGAAATACCTACATATTAGGAGAAAGTACATGCAGTCAAGGAGCCAGTTAAGAGACAAAAAAATATTCTTGTTTTTACATTAGACTTATTTTCTATGTTTGGATTTAGCATATTATAGTCATATTAGTATCTCTTGCTAAATATAGTAGTTGATTAATTCAGATGTGCTAAAGATAGCAGTTTATGAATTCAGGCACTCAGTTCAAATGTTCATTTAGTGATTTGCTCTTACACTGTAGGTTTATGTTTTTTTAAAAGATAAGATTATACTATGTTTAAATGGGAGGGTCAGCTTTGACTTTTTTCTTAAAATATGATTAATGATTGTTTCAAATACAATATGGAGATATTTGGATTAAATTACAATCTCTTGCAGTTGCATAGTACAGATACCAGACTTTATGTAAGTTTCATGCTCTGATGTATTATTTATAGTACTAAATGCTCTGTTTTATGTATAAGAAGGTTTTATTCTTGTAGGGTAGACAAACAAAAAGTAATAATAGGAATTTTATTAAACTTTGCAAGTTTAACCAAAATTTATTTAAACATTTTATTAAAGCAATTTTGCAAATCTTTACCTCCTGTGTGATATTTTTCTAAATTCATTTGAAAAGCCTATAGTTTTGTTTTTGAATATTAATATTGTAATTATCCAGAATAATTTTTTCTCTTCTCTATATGATATCAATAACATACATCTATTTGTAATAATACATTTTAGTATAGGTTATATGACTTATGTGAGGCTTTTAAATAATTGAACACACTAAGCACTCAGTTGTACATACACTGAAGATGGTATCTTTCAAGTTACTATCTCTGTTACATTAGTGGAAAGAAAAAATATATACATTCATATAGGTAGAAGAGAAAAGCATTACTTGTCTCAATCACAAAAAGAAGGTGCAAAAACAGAAAATCTCTTAAAAGCCAACAATCCATACTGTTAGAATGTGGCGTCTTTTTGCCAGTTCTTAGGAAAACTTATCAACAGTTCTTGCTTAAGCTTCCTGAGGCATAAATTTAACTTTTCTTCCCTTCAAAAGCAAGGAAGTCATAAATGACACTCTTTTGAAAACCACAAATGGTTAACATACTATGAACGTGTTTGTTATTTAAATTATCAGACATCTTTCCAAATTCTAGTCTTCATAAACATAAGAAATTCTGAACTACTCTTTGTCGAAAAGGTTGCCTGCCCTGGGAAAATCATACTGAAGGAGAGACAGATGAGGGGCATATTTCTTCCTCAAGATGTCAGTGCGGAAAGAAATAGTCTAAGACACGTAATATTCTTTTGTGGTATCACTTATACAAATGCTGGAAGCCTGAGATTAAAATCTGATATTTATGACTTCATAGGTCACTTTCCTAATTGTCAAGTTGATTCAATTGGCGGTTGGCTGGGTAGTCACCTTTCCCCTCACTCTAGGAATATTCCTAGAGCCAAAAAAGCTTTTTTTGGCTGTCTTTGTTGCCTGGGAACTGATGCTATATGTATACCCGAATTTAAGGCCAGGGACCACCCCCACTTCCTGCCCCATCCTTTGAGGGGGACTGTCCTCTATCTTTGTGCCTTGGGGTACTTTTTAGCTTTGTTAATTACCCTAGCAGCCCTCCCCCCCATTCTTCTTGTGCTTTACTGGGTTTCTGCTGCAGGTAAGGGACTGCGATGGAAGAATACTAAGTAGGTCTAGCTATAATGTGAATGAAAATCAAACATTTTGAGGCAGAAACAATTGCTAGATTGCCGTACGTGCATATTTAGTGCATGTTAGGGGTAGCAGATTTTTCAAATTCATTTTAAACCATCCACTTGGTATGCAGACTTCTTTTTCAATTTTGTTTAGATGGTGAATAAACTTGGTCAGTGCTCCCCTTCCTCTCCGGTTCTGCCCTGTATGTGAGCCAAATCTTTGAGGATAAGACAGAAATCCTGGGGAAATACCATTGACTATTTTCAGCAGGGACATTTAACTCTGAGGAACATGATAACTGATAATTATAAGCCACTGGGGGTTGTTTTTCTATGACTCATAGGCATAAGAAATGTATGCATTTATATTGAAGTTGATTCTAAATGAACGGAATAAATAAATTTGAAAATGTTTTCAAGTCAAAGCTAATACTGTCATCACAATTGTTAGTACTTGTTTTATTTTACCTACTAAATTTAGATTTATATTTTGAGTAAATTATAAATTGTATTTTTACAATTTCCATTCACTTATAATGAATGAAAAAAGGTAACCACTGAGAATTCTTTAGTCATTAAACCGTTAGTGAGCAACTACTATATGCAATAGGAGTTAACTTTCATTTTAATAAGCTTAAATTTAATTGACTTATGAAATGCTTATCAAAAATAATAATAGTTAATATTTTAACATTTATATAGTACTTATTATCTGCTAGGCACTGTTCTAAGAGAGAGAGAGAATGTGTATGTGTGTGTCCCTGTGATTTATAATCGAGGTCCCTGTGCCTCGACTTATATTTCCAGCTCAGACCTTTCTCTTGAAGTTCAGACCCAATCTCCAAATGTCTTCCCAGATGCCCTACAGACATCTTTAAAACATTAAAAACTAATAGCAAGGAACACTTAACATATATACCATTTTTTATCCCCCAGGAAATGTTCTAAGAACTTGAAATACATACAACTGGGGAATCATTATGATTAGTATTAATATTGTTCTCATTTTATAGATGAGGAACTTGAGGCTCAGAAAGGTTAAGTAATTTGCTCTCTTTTAATGTTACATGGCTAGTAAGTGTCAGAGCTAAGGTTCCAATCCTGGGTCCTTATCCACTTCTTTGTACTACCTCACAATAAGGAAAGTCTTTTAAAATATCCTCCTTTCATTCTTGTCACATACTAAATATTTTGACTTTATTCCTTTCATTAAAATTTGCCTGACTTGAATTTTTTAAAAAACACTATGAAATACTTCAGCAACAAGTATAGAGGAGAATATAAAAACACCTCTGTATTCATTACCAGTTTAAGAAACAAAACTTATTTTTATTATAGTTGTAGAGAACTTAGCCATATAACTCATTAATGTTTAATGACACTATAACATCCTTTGAGCCTGCATTTTCACTGATTAAAAAATCATCTGAAAGTCTACATCTTCTATAAACCAATGCATTTATTTTTTGAAGTGTACTATCTTAAGAATATATATCATTGCATTGAAAAGTCTTCTTATGACCTCATGGCTCTTTGTAGAGAAATTTGGGACTCCTTTGCTCTATATATTATGGATGATACCTCTAGTAATTCAAATGCCATCCATATGATATTATTCCTATTTACCATTATATGATAAATCAAGAAAGCTTTTTACTTTTACTATTGAGAATTACTATTTTTCTTTTTTTTGGTAATACCTTAGGTTGGAGCAGTTCAATGAATAGCACTTAATATTATGTAGTTTGTTTTTATATAGAAGATGGATATCCCAGAAAGGAATAACAAATTCCCCTTGTCCATATGGGGCCTGCATATGGAGCTTACATTCTAGTAAGAGAAGTCAGACAATTAAAAAAAAAAAATACACACACAC